AAGTAATTATTTATAAACAGCAGTTCAATTTCATTAATTTACTGTTCCTTGGAAAATTTTTATGATTCCTTATCATCTATTAAATGTACAATAGAAAACAATGGCTTCACTATTTTACAGGTTTGGGATTCTGATGTCACAACTATCAAGATCACATCTCAAATTCTAAGAACGGTTCAACCCCACATTTGTTCTGATTATGAAAGATATTATTACTAGCAAATTCGACTTCAAACATTCTAGTTAGAAGGACTTTAAAGATGAATATCAAGGTGTATCCAAAGGAATGTTTTCTTCTCGTACCGATGGAACCTTTCTTGATGGAATGTTCCTGGTTCAAACTTGATGATCAAAATAGGTTCCCCTAAAATGATTTTACTCCAACCCATTGAATATAATGCTGTAGGAGAAAAAATTATACTTGTTGATGGCAAGAAAGTATTGGAATCTGTTTTGATGGAGAGACCAAAATTAGCCAAGATTTCAAGCATGGGTGTATGTCCTTTTGCAGAAACAATCAAATTTCTATGAATTGTTGTGTTTACAATAATATGCCAGATGATAGTATTCACGTACTCTTTCGATATGATTCAACTACATTTGTGCCAGATTGGTCTTGCAAAGCGATAAAATTATCTACAACAATTATCACATGAACCCGAAATTCCAACTTAAATTACCCTTAAGAAAAAGCCACAAATCTCGATAATGGATAATCATCAGCTCTTGCATGGCCATAACGAATTTGCTGGAAATCACAAATTATGCCGGGTCTCCTCAGAGCTATGCTACGCCAAGCTTGGCCAGCAAAAAAATTTATCAAACAGATTTAACTTTTAAAAATGGCGGAAATGTGAATGTTTATATCACCTTGGATATTGTCATCAACGTGGCTGGTGCAAAGAAAGGATTTGAATCAATGATAAAATAAAAATGTTAAATCACATTTGCATTTCCGTTTGCCTTCTGATTTGTCATTTCTTTTTGTTTTTTATTTCTTTGAAGTTTGTATTCCCGAGGTTGATGTCCTGCTTGTTTTATAAAGTTTTGCCTGTACGTTTGTTCCTAATAATTGTCTTCATTTCTGCTTACTTCTGCAATTTTCATCAGAAAATTTGTTACGTGCAATGAGGATATATAATTGTAAATTACATAATATGTCGAATATAACAAATTATATGAAATTTGATTCAGCAATCTTTCTCACATGCGTGAGCCAATTTACCGTCAAAAAATAAGCCAAAAATTTTCATACAACAACTAATAAATCCCGGAATAAATTATAATGTCATTTTTGGGCTTGTGAACTGTTTTGTTCTGAAATACATACCACAGTACAAGATTTTAGATGTTTATTAGACTTTAATGGAAATACAATCTCTGGCCCTATAGAAAATAAATATGTAAGGAATAATTTTTAAATACAGAACAAACGTACTCAATGTATGTTTTGAAATTTATCAAGTTTTAAATACATTCGTAAATGTATCGAATTCCTTCATGATGTATGTTATTATTCTGGTGAAAGAAAACTCTATAAAACGTAAGTTTTAATTCTTTACATGCATGATGTATGTATTATTCTGGTAAAAGAAACTCTATAAAATGTGGGTTTTAATTCCTTACATGAAGTACGTTATTATCTTGATGAAATTAAGATTTACGATTTATTTTCATTAAATATTGATTTCATAGTTTGTATGATTAAAGTCATGTTTCAATTTAAAAAAATTATTAATAATAAACCATAAATAATATCTTTTTTATTTAATACTATTTAAATGGTTTTACTATAAAAGACAACTTTTCTTGCTAAATAAATACTGAATTATCAGAAAATAATTTGTAGAAGATTTTCTGATATATTCTTATGTATGTGTGTATTCCTTTTAGTGTGATAATTGCTATTCCGAGTTATTTTTATATTCTTTAAAATTTGATTTGGCAGTTAATCATTTAAATTTTAATGGTGTTATCTGACCCTTTTTAAAATAAAATTTTCTTTGGAATGTCTTCTAATGAAATCGATGAGCTTTTAGCTCTTTTGGAAGGAGAAAAAAACCCATTAACAACAACAAGAGGTATTTAGTTTATTTATGATAATATATAATTATAATTATTTTTTTGAATTAAGTTAAAAGTAAAGATGATAACAACAATAACAATAGCAATAATAGTTGTAATGAAATGATAGTGGTGGTAGATATGATAATTATGAAGTAATAATAACACCATTAGTAATCATAGAACTAGAAATAATAACGATGATGATGATAATGATGATGATAACAACATCAGCAATAATAATAATGATATGGTGCAGGTCATCTAAAGGCATCAAAAAAAAAATCGTGCAACTTCAAACCACTAAGGCTTTTTTTTTTTAATTAATAAAATTGAAAAAACTCTATTTTTGCAATCTTTAGAACTAAAAAACAATGAAATAGAGAGCTTTTTTCAATTTTATTAATTAAAAAAAAAAGCTTTTAGTGGTTTGACTTTACCATCAAAAATGAAATTTGGCACAAGATGTTCTTTCCTATTTAGTAACACGCGACCAGAACAAATTATAAAATTCAGTTTAGAAAACCATCATCATATTTTTTTGTAAGCAATCAACAAACAATACATTACTAACAAATTTACGTTCTTCCAATTTTAAAAAAATGCCAAGGCAAAATAAGCAAACTGCATATTCGGAAAATGTTAAAAAACAAATCAGATAACGAATTGAATAAAAATTTAGAATATACATCAAGTAAAGAAGACTCGGATAAAAAAATTGATTATATGAATTATATGAATTATTTTATTTTGTTCATTTACTCGAATCATTCGTTTTATTCGTTTGTTCGAATCATCTGTTTTATTCGTTTATTCGTTTTATTCGTTTATTTGTTTTATTTGAATTATTCATTTATTCAAATTTATTCGTTTATTAGAATTATTTGTTTTATTCGTTTATTCAAATAAAAATTTATTTGAATAAACTTTCATAACGAATACGATAAATGATTGAGTCATGTGATTTTATAATCCCGTGACATAAACCGTTCCCATCCTTATTTGGCGATGCACATTTGATGTCTTTAGATGGCGCGCACTATATCTCAGGATCCTTTAACATACTGGTGATCTTTTCACGGTTACCAGTTATTTTATTAGGATCTGCCGTTTCTCGACAACTTTCAGCTAGTAGAACTATACTTGCCACCTAAAGTTCAATCCCAAATAGGTAAAAACTGTTTGGGACTTTTGAGGTATATCCCTGGGACTAATACAAAACTTAGTAATCTATGCGAGACACATTCCAAATTCGTACCTAAAGTGTCACCCAATTCATGAAATTCAAGGGTTTGGGATTTGGGATTGGCACTTGGCCTTTTGAGTTTGGACGGCAAGTATAAATAGAACTTCAATATTTTTCTTAACTCCTTGTTGAGGTGTGGATATTCTTAACGGATAATCCGGAATACGTACAATTAGTAACCATGTGCATTCGGTAAATATAGATGCTAATCGGAATCAAATTACTTATATCTCATTTAGTAAAACAACTGCATAGCTTACAAAAGATTTATCTTCTTCTACAACTATGGCCTGAAGGTCTATAGGTACTACAAAAGGGACATCGTGACAAAACTCCCAATCCCGATCTTTATATGTAGCAAGGCTGGCAAATTGACTGTCCCATTGCCAATAATAAAATAACAAATATAGTACATTAATGGATTCAATGGACCACTAATGGTCTACACATTTGTCAACCCTGGTTTGTAGTAACAAAGAGTTGAGCTAGAACATCTACTATGGAAAATACTGTGTTCTCAATGATGATTTCTTTAAAAAATGTTCGTTCTTCAGCTTTAAGACGTTTGAAGATTGGATTAAATGGGTTCGTGATATCAAGGGTACCAATCACACTTGGTGACATATAATAAGTTGTTTCAATTCTGTATTTACAAATGCATCAACAATTTGACTTGTTTTGAGTTTTATTTCGTCATTCCTCCAAGTTGTTTTTTTATTCTGTTAACAAGTAATAATTAGCACGTATATAATAGATATTTATTACAGCATTATGGCTCAAATCTTACCATATCTTCTTGCATTCCATTTATATTATACTTAAATATATCTTTCCAAGATTCTTTCCCAATTTGGCTTGATATTTTTTCAAAAATACGATTACACTAAATTCATATAAAACAATACAGAAACGTTAATAAGTCCTCAAAATACAAGATAGAAAAATATCATTAACGTAATGTATTTACAGTGTGTTAAGAAAAAAATGGCGGTGACAAAAAATTGCATAACTCAACAATTACATAACATAATTAAATAAATTTAGATTAGTTTGAAAGTTTATCAAATTACCTTGTCAAATAAAAAAAATGGACATGATATGCTATTGCCAATTTTCTGTAAAGCTAATTCATATCTTTTTTTTAAAACTTTGCAAAATTTTTGTCTCTGAAATTTTAACACGGAAATTTTTAATACATAATGGTCATACAAAAAATTATACCAGTTTGTAATGAAAAATTCTGGAGATTATATATATAAACTTTTTATCTATAACGGCCTTTTTTTGCCAAGTCAGGCGGGCTGTTATAGAGAGAGTGAACTGTATACTTAACAATGGCTTATTATTAATATTGTATGAAAACAAAGGATTTCAATTGAAATTTACTTAAAGCTCAAACTGTTTGGAGTTTTAGACTAGAAACTACCTGACAGTCTCTAGTATTCTAATTTTTGCATTTTGCTTATTTGAATTAAATTTATTAATTATAATAAACTTATTATAGCAACCAGTGTCTCGGTTGAATGAGTTTTTTCTGATGCACATACTTAATTACTCAAAAACATTGTAGTTTAGAACATGAAACAATATGATTTTGCATGTGTTTAAAAGGTTGGCAGAGACAATGCATTTTATACTGTATGTGAATCGAAAAAAAAAATAGAACATTGTTAGGGTTTCTATTCAAATTATTTGTTTTATTCATTATGAATTTGAGTATTCGAACATTGAAAGTTTAGTTGAATAAAATGAGTAATTCAAATAAAATGAATAAAGTGAATAAGCAAATAAAGTGAATAAAATGAGTAATTTGAATTAATATTAATATTGGAGGTTTAAAAGATATTTATGAACAAAAAATCATTCATCATGATCTTCATAGTGGTAATGTTCTTCAATCTAATTTTTACTCATATATTACAGATTTAGGATTATCATGTCCAGCTAGTCAAACATTAGCACCAAACAAATGACATATTTGGAGTACTCCCATATGTTGTATCAGAAGTTTTAAGAGAAACCATACACGATAGCGTCAGTTTTGGAGTTCTGATGGCTGTAGTAACAACCTTTTAATAAGATATATATAGCCTCCAATGGAGATATGTGAAGGTAAAATAACTTTATTATGCATTTTAAAAGGAAGTTGCTCATCAGATTCAGTTGAAAAAAAGATTCAAAATAATGTAAAAAAAAAGTAAAACTTTGTTTTAAAATTTATTTGAAACAAATTAGACAAGCTTTGTAATATCAAGTTATTTTGTGACCAACAATTTTCCAAAAAGTTACTTTTAAATAAAATATGCATAGAATATATTATACATATGTAAATATTTACAACTAGAAAAACTGCTGATCGTCATTTAACCAGTATATTTAACTTAAATCTATATTCTTCTTGTTGCCGTTCTTGACGCTTTCGTTGCTCCTCTTTAATGGTTTCTAATAATGAAGTGTTAACAACATATTTTTCAAGAATTATTCTAAAACTTTCTAATTCTTCAATTCTTCCTAAAAGTTTTTCAGAACTTTTTTGTGCGCGAGGCTCCACAATTGGCAGGAGGCCTTCTTTGGCTTTCCTTTTGAATCCGCAGCATCTACTATGTGCAAAACCCCATGGCTTCATGGAGTCAACTCCTAAAATTTTCGAAATAAGCGAGTGAGTAAATTATAGCGCACAATTATTTAACAGAAAAAAAAGTCAATTTACCAAA